ATGAACGATGATTTTGGAGAAGTTGTATCGCACATGGGATAGGAATATGTTCCAGAAATTTGAGCTTCATATCTTCATCAAATGCTAGGTTGAAAATGGACAGCAAAAGTACGGACACACACACACACACACACACACACACACACACACACACACACATGTCATACACAAACACACACGCATATGCACACAGAGGGTCTTCCGTCAGTATGCGTTTTTCCATTTACATAAGCATGCGAAAACGTGTAACTAGCCTGAAAACAGTAGCTGAAATTTTATCAGAATTTTTTTTGCCCATCTTGTAAATAATATACTTAAATGGAGTTTCGAGTTGCACTTGCGCCATGCCTCGGGGCACGTCAAAGATATTTTTGGCGAAGTGGCGATTCCACGTACCGAGCAAGTTGCGAAACTGAAACTTTGCAGGAATACTCTGTATTTGTGTATGGTTTAAATCTAGCCTGGAAGCAAAATTCCCTGCCATGATAATTGTTCAGTTCCATCGCAACCTCAAAAGCGAGAGCATTTTGCAGATTTCGTAAACCTCTTCGATGTCCTTGTGCACTGACGAGTTTATGTTTTTTGGCGAGCGACCATTCGCCAAAAACTGTTCTTTTATCTTCATGCACGATTGGCAATCATGCATGCTGGCGCTTTACGCTGCCCTACGATGCAACGTTACCACCCTAGCTGACGTCCTCTTCCCCATGCACGCAAGAAAAGGTCAAAGCACAGCCAACATGAGTCTGTGTGTAAACTGTAACGCAGCAGCCATTCGTACTGTTAACTGGTTTAATTGCTGGAAATTTAGCGCAAAAACGCATAATCGCACCGGCATACCTAGCAGTGCATTGCAGCCTGGATTAATCTTCACAAGACACATTTTTTGTTTAAAAAGTTATAAAAATATACGTAGTACTGCTTACCTTTTCTTTAAATGAGCACAAAGTTAGGACAAGCGTGAAAATGAAGACAATCGATGGTTGCTTGCCTGAAGGATCTGGCGTTCTTTGCTACACACTGCCTAAGAAATTCGAGTACATAGCTTTTTTTTTCTCTCTTTCTGAATTTCCGGCAAGCGAATCTACAACTTTGACCAGTGAGATCCATCAAAACTACAACAGGAAATGTGCATTCTGATTTTACTTCTTCACCGCAGATACATTCGAACTAGTTGTCGCATGGTGGCGAGAATGGAGTTTAAGCTTCAATCCTTTGGTGGTTCAGATATCCTTCTTGTCACTTTCGGGATCCGGTTAGCCAACTACACTTTATTCACGCCGTCTCCAAAGAGAGATATAACCAGTAGTGTATTGACCAGAATCACAAAACAATCCAACCAAACGACAACTAGAAAAACCAGAAAAAAAAATTCGAAAGAAAAAAACAAAATCTCTTTTCCTCCAAAGGCTTGCTTTTAAGTCCTACCGTGGCCCCACCCTCATTTATTAGGGGTTTTACACGTTTACCTCTAGGAACCTGTCCAGTTGACTTCCCTTGAAAATTTACGTTTTTCTTCCTGAAATCTTAAATTCTACAGAAAAATGGCGTAACATGATCCGGTCGGCACTGAATTTCTGGCAGCGTGAAACATGCGTTCGTTGGGAGGAAAATGGTGCTGGTCATGATCGCGTCGTGTTTCTTCGCGGAAGCGGGTTTGTTTGTTTTGGCAGTTTTCGGAAAAGGCATAGATTCTAGATGAATTTTCAGCTGTTTTTCCATCGCTGCGCTTTTTACAACTTTGATATGAAGTGTTGTTTCATCGCTCTTTTCCCTTTCGCCATCTTATGCA